AACTCTATTTCAATTTTCAAAATTGTTTTCTTACCGATGTGAAGAAAAGTAGAAAACTGATGCGTGTTGGAAATTGTTTCCCATTTTTATTTACTCTTTGACCGTTATGAAATGGAAACGTCTCTTTGGTTTACTTTTCTGCTTTCTTTTTTTTATACAGTTTAACAATTTTCGTTTCACGACCGCTTGAAAATATTACTCTTGGTTCTATTGAAAATCTTACACTAATATACTTTATTTGATCATTACTTATTGCACAAGAAACATATTACTCATTAGTCTCATTTAGGGTGCAATATTACCGGTAGCGAAGAAGATTTGATTTTTGCGACATAATGTCGATTTCGATTGAAAAGTCGTGCATTTGAAAATTATGCTTGAGAAAAACAACTTGACAACAAGAACATTTACTTCTAAGAAAATAACAACTGTGGAGCATTAATACGTTCCGAAAATATATCAAATCTTCACATAAAGGAAAACAGAGAAACTACTATTTGTATATTTAAGAAAACAGCATTAAAACATGGGACGCTCTCGATTAGTACCGATCATATTCTTCGTCTACACAATAATCTTATTGATCAGCTCAATCAACTGTAAAGAAGAGAATAACAATCTTGTAACAAATCAAGTTGCTTTGTTCGTGTTTGGAGATTCTTTGTTCGATGCCGGAAACAACAACTACATCAATACTAGTTCCCGAGCTAATTTCTGGCCGTACGGTCAAACCACTTTCAAGTTTCCTACCGGAAGAGTTTCCGATGGACGTTTGATTCCTGATTTCATCGGTACCAAAACAAAACTACTCTGTTAAGTTAATTGTATTTTCCAAATTTTTTTTAACTAATAACTAACGTGACAGCTGAGAAAGGATGGTTACCGTTGATTCCGCCAAATCTACAACCAGGCAACGGTATCAATCAATTTACTTATGGAGTAAATTTTGCATCCGCGGGTGCTGGAGCTTTGGTTGGAACTTTTCCCGGCATGGTAAATATCATCAATGGTTTTTTGAAATTCTATTATGTCCTTACAAAAAAACTGATTCTTGAAATTCTGTTATGTTTCAATAATTTGAGTTGATTTTGATTATGGGTAAATTATGTATTTGTGATAGAAAATAATTACATTAAAACGGTACTTATTACCAAAAAAGAAAGAAACGGAGAACTATTTATAAATTGAAATAGAGATAGTAGAAATTAAAATTATTTAAATTCTGAATTACTATTGGTTAATATGTATTGAAAAATAGTTAATATTAAAAAGTAATGCATTAATAACTTACAAC